AAAGGGGGGGACATGGGGGAAAAAGGGGGAAAAAGGGGGAAAATGGGGAAAATCGGGGAGGGGGAATGGGGAGAAAATGTGGGGGAATGGGATGGAAAATGTGGGAAAATATGGGGAGGACTGAGGGGAAAATGGGGGGAAAACTTGGGAAAATATGGGAAAAATGGGGGGGAAATGGGGGAATGAGGGGGAAAATGCAGAAAACTTTGGGAAAAAGAGGGGAAATGGGGGAAAAATGGGGGAGGAATGAGGAGAAAATGGGGGAGATGTGAGGAAAATGGGGAGGAATGTGGGGAAAATGTGGGGAAATGGGGGAAATGAGAGGGGAAATGTGAGAAAACTTTGGGAAAAAGAGGGGAAATTGGGGGAAATGTGGGAAAAGTGGGGGGAAAATCTGGGGAAATGTAGGAGAAATTAGTGGGGAAATGAGGGAGAAATGGGAGGAAAACGGAGGGAAAATGTGGGGAAAACGAAGGAAAATCCTGGAAAAAAAGGGGGGAAAGCGGAAAAATGCGGGGAAAAGGCTGTTTTTCCCTGCCTACCCCGAAAATCCCGGTGTTTTCCCTCGGAATCCCGATTCCCGGAGGAAAACATGGAATTTTCCCGTGGGTTTTATCTGATGGACCCCCCGCTGAACTCACTTATCCCAATTCCAGTTAATTGGATCAGGGCTGGGTTGGGAGCGATTCCCAAAGGTCGGGAATGAGGCGGGGGCTGGCGGGAGCTGATAGCGGCGATTTCTGGGATCTGAGAGCCTCTGGAATTCGCCGGGAAAAGCTCCCCCATCCCGCCTGGGTTTCCGAGATAAGGCTCGGGAAGCGTCGGAGCCTCTGCGAGTCGCTGCTGCTGCGCGATCCTCAAAGAAAGTCGGGAATGGGGAAGGAAAGGAGGGGGGAAATAAAGGAAAGGAGGGAAAAAATAAATGAAAGGAGAAAAAAAGGGAGAGGGAGGGAAAGAAGGGGAAAAAGGGGAGAGGGAGAGGAGAAAAAAGGAAAGAAAAAGGAAAGAAGAAAGAGGGAAGAAGAAGAAAAGGAAAGGAAAAAAGAGGAAAGAAGAAAAAATTAAAGGAAAGGAGAAAAAAAGGGAAAGAGGAAAAAAAGGGAAAAGCTCTTATCCTCCTCTGTGATTTGGGATAAACCAGGGGGAAAATATCCCCCGAAATATCCCCAAAATATCCCCCCAAATATCCTAAAAATATCCCAAAAATCCTGCATCATCCCAAAATTCCTCCTGGGATGAAAATCTGGGTTCTGGATCATATCAAAATTCCTTCTGGGATGAGGTTTCGGCTCCCGGATTGTTCCCAATCCCTGTCCCGGCCTTGTCCCCAAATTCCCCGTGGCTTTTCCTGTCCCTCGACACAGCCGGGGCCTCATCCCGATCCCAGAGCGGCCGTTCCCTATCCCAGGGAGATGCGGGATGGACATTCCCAATCCCAGAGCGGCCATTCCCGATCCCAGGGAAATGCGGGATGAACATTCCCAATCCCAGGGAGATGCGGGATGAACATTCCCAATCCCAGGAAGATGCGGGATGGACATTCCCAATCCCAGGGAGATGCGGGATGGACATTCCCGATCCCAGAGCGGCCATTCCCGATCCCAGGGAGATGCGGGATGAACATTCCCAATCCCAGGGAGATGCGGGATGAACATTCCCGATCCCAGGGAGATGCGGGATGAACATTCCCAATCCCAGGGAGATGCGGGATGAACATTCCCAATCCCAGGGAGATGCGGGATGGACATTCCCGGTTCCAGGAATATCGGGATGAGCCGTTCCCGGCGGGACGGACGCTAGGTGGGGCTGGAAGCGCGGCCGGCAGCGGCCTCAGCCCCCGCAACTCTCTCTGCCTTCATCCTCCTCATCTCATCTTCATCATCCTCGTCCTCTTCCTCTTCCACTTCATCCTCATCTAATCTTCATCCTCATCTTCATCCTCATCCTCCTCATCCTCGTCCTTGTCCTCATCCTCATCTTCCTCATTCTTCATCCTCCTCATCCTCGTCCTTCGTCCTTCGTCCTTCATCCTTCATCCATCCTTCATCCCCATTTTCATCCTTATCCTCTTCTCCATCCTCATCCTCATCTTCATCCTCATTCTCATCTAATCCTCATCCCCATCCTCATCCCCATCCTCATCCTCATCCTCATCCTCATCCCCATCCTCATCATCCTCCTCATCCTCATCCCCATCCTCATCCTCCTCCCCATCCTCATCCTCATCCTCATCCTCATCCTCCTGCTCCTCCTCCCGCTCCCAAGCTTTTCCCGGTTTTTCCAACAGTTTTTCCCGTTGTTAGCAAATATCCATTTCTGGGTTTATTTCTGTATTTTCTATCTGTTGATTTATTGCATCTCCAAAGTGAGAGGAGACAGAGAGGGGGGGAAATTAAATGTAAAGTGA